TGCCGGGCTATGTTCCTGGAAGTGCACAGGCGCGATTGCGCCTTGCAGCTGGCGTGAACTTTGCACTTAGAAACAGCTCAGAGCTACCGTGTGCCACCCAAAAGGAAACAAGTGCGCTGAGAAAGTCATGCCTCAAGACTCCATTTTGGTTGTTCCATAATGTAATAGTCACTCGATCATAATGATCACTTGATAATTTAACATCGGCATCGAGAAGAAGCGTGCTAATAGTCCTCTAACCTCTGACAATACCACCCGAACCCTCCTCTTAGCCTCGATTCCACTCTGTAGGTCACAGACAGCCGATCACAAGTCTACTGCGCTCTCATTTAGTGAGAGTGACTCACGTTCTTTTCTCCTAGATCCATTGGTGGTTGTGTGTCGGTGGCTTTGAAACCGTTGTGATATTCCTCAATGACAGGATTGAATAGGTCTGCGAATAATGTGTAAGACTCGGCATCGGGAGCATACAATCCAACTCCGGAATCGAGGTTTTCAACACCTGACTGGATCACATCGAGCAGTGTAGCTCCCAAACGGGTTTTCTTCCTCTGAAACGGGACCTGAGACCTCTGCGTCATAGTTCTCACCAGATCTTGAACCCACCTTCAGTTTATCGACAACAGCCTTTGTGAGATGCTTTTTAAGAAGAGATTTGCAGTCTTGAGCAGCTTGAAGTTTTGCGTAACCTTCTTCAATTTTCTTAACGACTTCTGGAGAAGCTGTCATCCTCGGAAAATGAAAAATGCTTACCCATTTGCTCCTTTTATACGCTTCTCCTTATCATAAGCATTTTAATGCATTTTTATTTGCTTCCGTCATTCTTATCGTACAATTGATGTGCTCATTTTAATAAGTGAGATTTTGCAGTACGGTATATCTACTACCGTAACCGAGACATACCGCTACCGTAACCGAAGCCGTAATCGGAGCCCCTCTAACTAATTCGGAGAGGGAAGTCCCTCTCCGGTCTCACGGCGGTCGTCATCGTACATCAGACAGACCGTGCGTTTAAGACAGCGTTAAAAAACATCTCAGACTTGGGTGCGAGACAAGCCTTATCGTTGGTTACGGTAGCACTCATTCACAATAAGCTTCGCCTCGTTCTTGCGAATCTTTGTATGATTTTACGTACCTGAGGAGTCACATATGGTCGTTCTGACCCATCTAGGATCCTGGAAGACATGCAGGCCATACCTTGCCTCTGAACAACGAGCGTCCATAGAAATACCCTCCATATCGAAGGGCGGAAAGAGGTGTTCCGGTGCTGCGTGTTTTCGTGCTGATTCTTCCCTCCTCGTACATACGTCTCTGCCTCTCTTGCGCCTGCAGCCTACTCGCTCTCGCAGCCACGCCTCTGGTGGCTCTTAGATATGAATTGCTGTTAACGTGAACAGCTATCGATTCGAGAAGAGTCATCGATAGTGTTTGCATGAGAAAGGCAAGTTTCCACCAGGAAACTGTTGCATCTCTTACCACTTTCTGTCTGGAACTCAACTGAAACTGTGGACTGTCTCTAGCTACGCGAAATTTTTCGCGCCGATATGCTAGCAGTGGAACGGGACTATGTGACAACTAACATTTCTGGTAGGGGTGCTGCTGCAGAAGGCCAGAGAGCAGAGAAATAAAGGAGAGCGGGCGCTAAGACATCTTGAGGTAAAAAAGTATCGAGAAAATTTTCAAATGGAGAGGACACCGGGGCGGACGGGCGAGCCCCTTGTAATGCGTGAAAAGCTGGAGTGTTGGAAATCAAAGTGGTCGCAAAACGCCAAGTGAACGTAAGAAAAACAGGGAACTGGCGTCCCTCGAAAAGAATGAGTTTTAGTTATCCGTAGAGCAATTGTTGGCGTCGTGACTGGAGTCACACAATGGATATGAGGCTCAGACTCCCTTTTTGACCCTATTTCGACAACCAACAGTTGTGAAGGGTGGAGTAGGAGGACCGTATATGAAATTGGCCATCGCATAACTGACACACAACGAATCGGTGTTTTGAGCAAATCGGCGCTTTGGACGCCGATCGACACCTCTGTTGTCCTATTTGTTCAGAACGCAGATTCGCTCAAGGCGCTGATTCTCCCAAGATGTGAATCGAGTCACAAAGTATGAACGCAGTCTGACCGTTCAAGTTACGCATATTACAACTGGCACAGCATGGTTGACTTGGGATCAAACCGAAACTTTGTTGGACAGTACGTCTCAGCAGGGTCAAGCATCGCCATAGAGAAGACATTTCCCTCAGAACGTCTCCCAATATCCGTTCCTCTCCCCAGCGACCAAATACGACACCAGGAGGACCTCATGACTGTCAAGAAGTCCTCGATGGGGTCGTATTTGGTCGCTGGGTAGAGGGACGGATACTGTCAGTCAACAACCGGCGCTACTCGGACAGTCCTAGTCCCCCTGCGTATATCTCAAGAAAAAAAAAACGCCTCGGCGGAAAGCTTTTGATACGTATCGATTGGGTTGGGCTAAGAGTCCGACGATTGGATGAAGCAGCATTGATACGTATCGACGGGCATTTGCTGGAACTGCGGTGTTTTTCGCAGATACGCGAACTAGCTCGGGCTCTGGGTTTTTTCTCGGAGGATGAGTAGCTAAATGTTTATGCATCATTTCGCTAATTTGCATAATTTAATTTGCGGGAGACGGTAAGAAGGATGGGGTATGCGGAAGCACGAGGCGATGGGCGGGTGTTTTATAACTCAGTTTTAATTGTGATGATAGCACGGATTCATGTAGACCCGTCATCGTAGACAACTCATTATGTTTAGGTCTTAATGCAATGTTGTCAGACATGTTATGCAGACACATCGTCCTTGGGCGGGGAGACATGACACGGCCGCAGGCGCGCAAATTACGACATCTTTGTACACTACTAATTTGGCGAATTCTCTGAGGGGTTGGGATTCTCGATCCATACAACTCTATTGACTAGGACGGGATTGGGGTTTCACGCAGTAGGAGTGTGCATCAGGTTGAAAGCGTTCTATGGCTTCTTTTTGAAGCGGCATGGCGAAATAAAGATTGTGAACCGAGTAATACGAAGGTTGTGATACAGTCATATTGTTTGCTCGCTTTGACGACTGCTGTTGGAAAACGGGTTCGGCACCGCGCCAAACTCATCCCACCTGACACGCCCAACGGTCGGCAGCGAACTTCACTATATCTGCGCTCCAATCGTAGTAACATTCGTCGTGGACGAGTTTCCTGCGGTGAGGGTGGGAACTTCAAATGTTCTTTTCCACTGTGCAGCTGCTTCACCTTCAGGATACTCTTTAATTTTCTAGCTCTTTCTTCTATAATAGAACGAACAATGTCAACACCTGTCTTCTAGATTGGCTGTTTGGAATCTGAAACCGCGATCTGATTGATGGTCAGCAGTGGGAGCGACGAAGAAAGTTAGTTGTTATGTTTTATATATTTTTATATTTTTTTAGAGATGGTTGAAGAATGTTTTATAGCAATTCAAATATCTTATGCTTTCGAAGTGTTCTAAGTACGTTCTTGAACTCGTGCCAAATACACAAGAAAACCAATGAAGGGGTTTTTATTTTTTGTTTTTATGGGAATGAGGTCCAACCAACCGTGCGCTAAAATTGGAAACGAAGAGAAGTATGTATTTAGTACAGTCTTCTTTCATTTCCAATTCGATCGCACTGTTTCACCGTATCCGAATATTTGTTTATCCATCAATTAGCTCAGTAAAGGAGATCAACTTGAATGTTGAAAAATTTTTCATATTGTGAGCAACTTTACAAGCTTATGCAGTACCTACAACTAGTTATTTTATGCCAAGAGTGGGTTAGTCAGGGCGCTGCTTTTCCATCCATTGGTACTCCTTTTTCGAACATCAAGCTCTAGTGATCGTTTTGGGCTGAAAGTGTGTAAATCGCTACTTACTTGCAAATCCATTACTGGGCAGCTTTACTTTTTCTCAGTTTAACTATCAATTTAAACAATATGATTGATAGCGACATTATATTGACAGGTTGATATTTTTAAATTGAATTTTATTTTATTAATTTTTTTTATTATTTCAAGCCATGGCCAATATTTAGGTGGTAGCGAAAGTGGAGAAGAATATGTCGTGGAAAAAATACTAGACAAGCGGATACGCAAAGGTATGTTTCATTAGTTGTCTGGTTTTCTATTCAAAGTTTTCTGTGGTTTTGCCAGATCGTAGTTTACAAATAGAGATTGTCCAGGGAAGGTAGAATACTACATCCGGTGGAAAGGATACGGACCCGAAGAGGACACATGGGAACCGGAGGAACAATGTGTGAGTTCTCTCCTATGGTGTCATAATGCTGCGCCCATTCCATCTCAGGATAAGGCAACGTAACTACCATTTTACGAAATGTATGCCGAAATTCTGCGTCGGTAGAGGCGGAAATGGGTAGTGTTGCCCAGCATACCGTCTCGCCAGCTATCACAAAAAAAATGGGCAGAAATTCAGCAGTTAGGATAATGTCACCGGGGTGGCATACGACCCTCTGCTTAACACCTCACACGGTCTCCCAGTGGGATTTTCTGCGCACATGGTGTAGACTTTTCCATCTTTGCATTCATCGGAATCGGGCCGCGTGTAGATTTGTCTATTCTTTATCCGATACCATATCTTCTTGGTAATCAGTTATGGCTGTTTATTCACATTAACGTTTGGTTTGCCTCATGCTTCATGTTACCATCTATTTGTTTTTTTTTTTTTTTTTTTTTTTTTTTTGCTTTTTCTTATAAGTTCACCACCTTAATCCGATCGATATTGATCCATACTGCTCTGCATCATCATCATCTGTTGTGCATCTGTTCCCCTTGTTGACCGAACATTTTCTTCAGCAGTCGTCCGATTTCTTTTTCAGCTACCTAGCAATAATAACTGATCCAGCCGAATCTTTTCCTTCAGACGCGCTGGATAATGCACTTTCTTACGTCCTGTAGATTTCTTCCTGTGTGAAACTCTTTCGCCCGAGGGTTATGTACCACTATATTGCTTACGCACTATTTCGAGCGAACCGCCTCATCAGAGGCCTGAAAGGACGAGCATATTTGCGGACTGTTCAAATCAAAACGTTCTTTTCGTGAGAAGAGGAATCCGTCTCTGAAACGTTTCGCACAGACAGGAAATCTAGCAGCACCTTGCAACAATGCCGGTATTCACTGGGAGACCGTACTCGGCACTTGGAGTCTCAGGAGTCTTGGAACCTGTGAGTCGCTGATCAGAGCCGGTTGCAGTTGCGCTCTTCATCAGTACTCAATCAGACTACATCTGTACAAGCTCACCACAGTTTTTAATCCGGAATATCCACGTCCCTTTAATTTTTCTCGAAGAAATATTTCTTGATTTCGCAAGTCGGTGCCATTCTGCTGTTCCGTCGAGCCTCATGTTGCTTGTCGTCCTTACGACAGCAGTTCTCGAATATATCCCAGGCCACGTATTTACTTATTAGACCACGGAACTTGTCATTTTTCAGCCGAAATGAACATCAGGAGGCTCTCCGGAATAAAGGTTAAATTCCGTTTCGTTGACTATTTTTGCACTACATGCATTATTTTAGCGCTGCGCCCAATTTAATAGGGATGTTTGAAAGAACGCACAAAAAAGTCACATTCCAAAGCTCCGCAAAATGTGGGAGGCGGAGGATGCAACTTAGGTGGTTGGTTGTCCTTCTGGATTCCCCCTATTACTTCGAGCGTCTTTCACTGAATACTATCAACGTATTTAGCCGTAACGATGAAGACAGTGATGGGGCTTCTTCAAATCGAGAAGTATGTTTTGTATCCAAGCTTCGATTTAGTTCAGGTGGTATATCTCGAAAAGTATAAAAGCTGTGTTGCAGAGTATCCAGAAAGACATTTTTGATGATGGTACGGCTAAAGATCCACCTAAATCTCCACCCGCTAAAATGAAGAACCAGAAAGGTTCGCATCATCCCATCACATCATTTATTAACATTATTAATCTTAATTTCAGCAGATGATACGAAATATGGAATCTTTGTGGGACGTAAAATATCACGAATACTGGGTCTTAATACCAAAGGTTCGGAGCTACGAATGCTAGTGGTCTATTCGGACACCAAGAAAATTCAAAAGGCCGACGCTGAGCTCATCCCGTCCCGTATTTTACGGCACTATGCTCCACAAGTCAGTTTTCTTTTACCATTTTCATTGTTTCGTCCACGTACTTCACAGTATCGTTCAAACTTCTTTGAAGAAGTTGAGGCTTTCCTGATTTTTTAATTGCTAGTTGTTTCCGAAATACCCGTTGAAAAGGAACGCATGCGTGATTCGAAAGAAAGAAGTTGGACTTAGGTCAGAGCCATCTGAAGCGTTCTTAGTTCTTGTCGGGAACTAGGATACGGTACAATTAAGAGCGTCCATTTACGTTGTAAACAGACCTGTTTGGAGGCTGAGAATGAAGCAGTCACACTGGAAAAATGTTGTTTAGCCAAAAAAAAACGCCTTTTGAAAAGCTCATAATTTTGAAATTCGGGAAATAATTTCATAATCCGTGGGCAGCATTCTAAGTTTTCTATCGGATCACAATAATAGTTGGTGTGTCAACCCTCCCGTCGCTTTCGCAGGTGCAGTCCTCGCTCTTACTAACCAACCTTGCTTCCCTATGTCATCAAACAGGGGCGAAACCAAAAACGCGTTGGCTATTCTGAATAGGAAACGGGTGAATGCTGATTCTAGGGGTTTCTTATCACACAATAAAGGACCTGATTGCACACTATTTGCTACCTCATGAAAATAAAGTTCTTTGTGATGATAGAATGAAACTCGTCAAAGTCGTTTATCGCATAGACGACGTTTCGGGCTTTAAGCCCTTCTTCAGGTCTACAAACATCACATTTAAAGCCT